TCTCTGTCAACCAGGATATCATGGAGACAAATATGAGTGAAATGTCAATCATAGCCATGCGCAGAGTTTTTGATGCTTTAAGTGAATTCAAGGTCAACTTACATGACATGCCTATACCAAAGAAAATGATGCAGTACTGCAGGCAAGCCAGGCATCGTTACCAAACATACTTGGATGCTCAGAAAGCAAACAGAGCTGAAACAGAAAAAGGACTCAAGAGAACTGCTCTTCAGGAAGAAGCTGTGGCGAAAAAGAAAAGAAAAAAACCCCTTGAAAATGAAGTGAATCTTTTGCTGAAAGATGCTGATGAACTGGCATTGAATGCTGAAAAGAAAAATAAACTTGAACTTATAACCAAATCAAATGCTTACAGAACAAAGGCTGGGTAGATCAAAACAGAAATTATTCATCTTGGTGAGGATATTGAGAACCTAGAAAAAAAGTTGAAAGAAGAATACTAGTGTGATATTTCAAATCTGTCTGCTGCAGCATTTACCTTTTATTGTCCAAACTTACAGTGTCAGCATACCTGGTAATGTCACAAGGCTGTAATTGCTGCAGTTATTGTTTATAAAGTTGTATTGGATGCCTTTTTCTTTAAATCATATTTGCTGCATTTCGTGTGTATTATGTGTTTAAGTTACAGTTGTTTGAAAAGAGGTTTTGTTAAGAAAAGGTTACTTTGAGTCCAAAATACAAAATTGAAGTGGTAATATTACGTGATTTTGTGATAATGAAGAATTGTGTTCCTAAATGAAACAATTCAGTTAAATCATTACTTTCACATCTATGCTCTTTGTCAAAAGCCTTTAATATAAAATACAAAGTTTTCAGATAATACATTACTGACATTGTCTAAGAATATATGATGGTTATACTCAAATGTATCTCCTAGTGTTATGTGGCATTGTGGCAGGAGAAAAATTTCTTTGTTACAAACATAAATGTTTTGGTAAATGTGATATATTAACAAAACAAATGCATGTATTTATGATATGTGTGAAGGAAATATCTTAAAAGGGGTGGTTCAGACTGGCTGAAGGGGAGGAAGGAAGCCAGTTTTTACATTTAAATGGTCAGGGAAAAATCTATACTTGTCAGGGAAAAGTCAGGAATTTTGGTCTGCCATGCCTGTGGGAACCCTGATGAATGTTTACAGGAAGAAATACATGTTATGGAGGATAGGTCCTTAAATGCGACATTCACAAAATCCAGTTCTAACGCGATGCTAAAGATATATAATTTGTAATGTTGACATTAATGGTAACAATGTCTATTCAGTGACTATTTATTGACCCTTCTGAATGAAAAATGCAATTATTTCTGGTTGTATGTTGAAGTCATTAGTGATAATCAAAACGTTACGTAGGTTAGACGAGTTTTGGCGACATGAAAACATCGAGAAAATTTTGAATTTTGATTTGGTACAATGTGGTTGAACTTTTTCTCGAAGAAATTTAACATATTTATCTCCAAGAAATAACATTAATTTTTGACAATTCCAACAACAGCATTGCACCACACCTTATTTACATATAGAAATTGACTGGCGACATTGCATTTTAGTGTCTTGAACATATTACGACTACTGTCTGGCACCGATAGCAAACAGTAGTGAAGCAGATTGTATTTGTTTTCTAGCAAAAGTTAGAGTCCCCCCAATACAGTTTCTTGTTTATTTTTAGATGTCTATAACCGTGTGTATGCTGGCGATATGGATACACATCAATTGGCACCATTTTGGTGGAATGACTGATTAACAAATTACATGAAATAAAACCTTATATTGGTTTCACCTACTTGGGTTGTCAGATTTGAGGAGGTCATTATGCGACCTGTTAAAAGGTGAAGATCCTCCGTTTTGTATCAATTGTGATGAGAGAGTCACAGTCAGGCATCTCCTGCTTGACTGTGTTGAATTCTCCATCATAAGGGATAAATATTTCAATGTTAAAACTGTGGATCTTTTTAATACTGTTCATTTTCATTAAATTCTTGCTTTTTGAAAAGAAATTGATTTAATTAAAGAAATTTGATGAATATGTTCTGTAGATAGATGTATTTTAATGATATGTAGATTAGATTAGTAACTTAGATTGTCAGTTGCTGTGCCCACAAAGGGGGTTAAAGTACTGTAAAATAATTGTCCTCCTGAGAGGGTACGTAAGTCCTAAAACATTCAAAGTAAATGTAAACCTACTACCATTTTAATCGTAGAATATATGTTCGTCTAATTTGTGGCTAGATTATCTTAAATTGCTAAATGCTGTAGGGATGAGGTAAATCCAGGTAGGGTCCATGCAGGAAGTAAATGTACTGTAAGTCCCCATGGTCCCCAGTATGGTGATCTTCCTTCAGTTGTTGGCAATACATAGCCTGTTTTACCTTGTATTGTCATCTATAGTTAAACTGTTTTAGATTTAATTACTAGTTTTAATTTCGAATCTGTGATAATCTAGTTATTTTACTGTCCTTCGTTAACAGGTTTTTACAATTTACCATTATTTAATATGTATAAAATTAATTGTTCTCGTCACGATATGGCTGAAATACTGCCGATGGTGACGATAAATTTTAACTCACTCACTCACTCACCCATATCTTCGGTTGTGAAAGATTGTTTGTTTAATCAGAAGGAACATTATATTCAAAGGATTATTTCGCTTTTCCTTGGATCCAAATAGCATAATCCTTATTCCAGCATCAGACATGAGCTACTCTTCAATTTTTCTCCACAAAATCACATTAAAATCCCAAAATAGCCAAAAAGTGGTTTCACTAGAATTATTACAATAGCTACACAGTGATGAGTCACTGACTTTTATTTTATGTCAGAAATAATTTGTGCCTAAAATATGGTTAATCATTTTCATTTGCAACCATCTTAATTCTGAACTCTGTGTACATCTAAATGGTATAATGTTGTAAGTTTTCCAATCCGATTCATCAATGTTGGATTCAAGAATGGTTTCGCATTTTAAATTCGAGGCTGAGTTCTTAAATATTGATGGGAGAAGAGTAATGGAAAACAACTTACTACCCTTATCAGAACCTGATCGTTTATTAATGTAGGAAGGTACTATAGGCAGTTCTAATGATAAGTGGTCTGAGTTTAGGGTAGCAAAAGTTTTTATATTTTTGCTGGTGTTTACCACAGCTGATCAGACTTTGATAAGCTACGAAGTTATCGCTACAAAATCATTAAATCCAAATATTTTTCATCATTATCCCCTAGTGGTCAAAGCGTTTGCTCGTCACGCCGAAGACCCGGGTTCGATTCCCCACATGGGTACAATGTGTGAAGCCTATTTCTGCTGTCCCCCGCCGTGATATTGCTGGAATATTGCTTAAAGCGGCGTAAAACTAAAGTCACTGACTCACTCATCATTATCCAGTAAACAGTAAAAGGTCCTTATTCCTTTCTTGTACCGATCCCAGTAAAATGGTGTTTCATCTCCAATAATTAGTTTGTTGTCAAACCTCAAAGGAAATGTACAAAGATCTTCTAAACATGGTGGTATTTCCAATAAGGTTTCAATGTAATCTGCTCAAGCCATAAGTGAGTGAGTGAGTGAGTTATAATTTTACATCGCATCGGCAATATTACAGCCATAGCGATGAAAACACGGTAATCAATGTAAAATATCTGTCGAGAAAGCACAGTAGTGAATGAGTGAGTTACAATTTACAGTCACACCGGCAATATTTCAGCCATATCGTGACTAAAACAAGTTAGAAAGGACAGTAATAAAAACAAACTAGACTATCACAGATATATATTTAAAACTAGTAATTAAATCTTAAATATTTTAACTATTGAGGACGATACAATATAAAATAGGCTGTAGATCGCCAACAATTGAAGGTAGATCACCATACTAGGGACCATGGGGACTTACAGTACCTTTGCTACCTGCATGGACCCTAGTTGGTTTTACACCATCCCTTCAGCCACTGGCGACTGTAGGAACCAAGCCAAAAGTACATCCTCCTAAAATGATTATTATATTAGTTGCATATTCTCTTGTTTGACTCGGACCAATTTCAAAGAAATTTACAAAGAAAATATTTTGGAGGTTTGAGTCTTTTGCCAAGAGTTTTTGTGACTGGATTGTTTTAAAAAATTGTGGTACTCTAGTTCCTCCATCTTTATGGATTAGGTAGCATTGACAAGAGATGGTACAATTTAGGCAAGAGAAGTGATTTCAGTATTGTATGTCTTCCCAATGTCCGGAATGACCAAATTTTCATTAGATCTAATGAGTGAGTGAGTGAGTTTAGTTTCACATCACACTCAGCAATATTCCAGCTATATGACGCCGGTCTGTAAATAATTGAGTCTGGACCAGACAATCCAGTGATCAACATCATGAGCATCGTTCTAGCCCATTAAGACACGATGACAGGTGTCAACCAATTCAGCGAGCCTGACCACCCGATCCCGTTAGTCGCCCCTTACGACAAGCATGGGTTACTGAAGAGCAATTCCAACCCGGATCTTCACGGGTCTCATTAGATTTAATATTTCTTTTAAGTTTTCTTGATAATTCAGTTTTCAACCATAACATCCAAGTCTATATCAAAGTCTATCCCAAGCAATTTAAAGCTCTCTACCCATTAAAGATTCCATTTGTTACATAGTTGATGTTGTGATCTCTCTTTAAATCCAATCCATATAATTTTACTTTTGCCAATATTAACATTTAGTCCTGAAAAACTAGCAAACCAGCGAGCCTATTCTCGAAATGTTCGTAGAGCTGCGAATTCCTAACTGCTTACGCCAAAAGATAAGAATTCTTAAGAAAATGTTTACGACCTATTCTCGAAACGTTCTTATCGAGTTCGTAACCCCAACACGACTAGTCACGTTTTAGTAACTTTTCGTAAGTTACGAAAGGAACTCTTTTGTCTCAAAGGGAAATTTAGTAGGGGTTTCCCGTGACGTCACAAGCACGAGGGAATTCCCATGTTTACAAACAAGGCAGACGATATCCTGGATAATGGAGTCTTGCATTCCCAGCACTCCTTCAAGGAAGCAGCGCACGTCCAACTGGTCCGCCACAGAGGTGGACATCCTGATAGAAGAGATAAAATCCAATTATAGCGTTCTCTTTGGACACTTTTCCTCCCAGGTGTCGGCTTCGCAGAAAAAGAAATTATGGACGGACATCGTGACCAAGTGAGTGCCAACCAACCATTTACATAAGTTTATATTATTTATAGAAAATTAGTGCAAATGTAAAATTCCAAAATATATATCCGTTGTCGTTACATATGAATGTAATACTAAATATTGTGTTGTTATTTACTGATATAAGTTTTTGAGTTACATCCAATTCATAGCATAATATTCATGCCTATTTCTTGAAGATAATAGTATTTTTGGTATGTTATTGTTTGATATACCCTTGACATTGTTTGTGGGTTGTTTTAAAATTTCATGATAAATACATTGTATTCCTGAAATAAACCTGTTATGGTTATAATGTGTTTCCCCTTGTTTCATCCAATGATATTACTTCACAGAATACATGCCAATGGGAAAACTGCCAGGGATGTTCCCCAGGCTAAAAAGAAATGGGCTGACCTGAAGTAAGCATTTTAACATTTCTATGAATATGTGGTATGTTTTCATCAATGAAAAGTCACAAATCATAAAAAAAGTGAATAAACATATTTACAAACTATCCACCTCTGCATGTTGTTGCATTGGCTCGAAGTTCATGTAGTGACTATTTTCCATCTATTCATAAATTGTACAAGCAATCTAGATAATTAATGGATAAATAATTGATCTCTTTATTAAAGTAAATCACAAAGGATGAATTAAAAATGGAATTAGATGAAACAAAACTACTGTGAATAAGTTTCACCACATTTATTTGTAGGTAATATTATGTAAATAGGATAAAAATGTATATCACAGATTTTTATAACAATTCTTTAAGAATATTGATGATATAAATAATATGAGTAACAAAGAAATTTATTATTATTACCATATTTAAGGCATTTTGACAATAATAATCACAAATTAATGAACAATTATTCAGCAGTTATGAATTCACATACATTGATATCACCTAGAGAAAAACAAAGGAACAATACTTATTTAATTCCACAACGGAGACTAAATTTCGAAAATTGAACATATTCATACACAATCCAAAAAAAATAATTAATGCTGTATTTTTGCTAAAAAGGAGTATCACCGGGAAGAAGGCAGCCCAACAGAAAAAGGAGCAGAGTAAGATAGGGGGTGGTCTGCCTGATGCTTTCATTGATCTCACTGAGTTCGAAAATAAGGTAAGTATTTATCACACAAACTATAAATGAACTTAACCATTAATCAATATCATTCACTAGCAATTTTTCTGTAATGAGTACTTGCAATATTATGAATTTGTTACATCTATGCTAAATTGTTCTTATCAAATTTAATCCAATAAGAAATATATATATACTTTTGTTACTGAATATTTTGTCTGTCAATCAGAAATATGGGAAATCATTGGAATTACAAAACAAATATAACTATAGGTATTTATTAAAATGTGTCATTTAAATGCACATCTCAATTTTTTATATTTTCAGATCATCTCCATCATTCCTGCATGTCAGGTCCAGGTTATAGGAGGGCTGGAAAGTGAAGCCTGTGAATGTGAGTATATACTCGCAATCTAATAAATAGACTGACTGACTGAGTTTGGTTTTACGTCGCTTTTAGCAATATTCCAGCAACATCATGACGGGGGACACCAGAAATGGGCTTCACACATTGTGCCCATGTGGGGATACGAACCCGGGTCTTTGGCGTGACGAGCCAACGCTTTAACCATTAGGCTACCCCACCGCCCCCTAATAAATAGAACCAGTTCAGTTCAGTACAGTACAGTACAGTACAAAAACTATGCAAATAGTGATGAGTCCCTTTTGCTAATCTAACAAAACCATACCATCAAAAGGTACGTTAATGAATAGAAGATATTTGTCATTTCAGCTGAGCTAAGTTGAGAAATTCTCCAAATAGAGAAATTATATCTCAACAAGGATAGCTTGTGCTCTCACTACTATTAGATGTCTTTAATTCAAATACTTCGTAAAATATCCTTATAGTGCCACAACCAGACATGGCAAACTATCCAGGGGAAACTGACACACATGATTCAGCTTCAACATCATCAGCGACAACATCAGCAGCAGTACCCGAATTTCAGCAATGTGATCCGACTCTCCAGAACTCAGAAGGTAATCGTCACTGTGAAAAAGACAAATCAATATGTAAATGAAAACAGACAAGTGAAAACACAATAAGGAAATAATTGAATTACTCGCATGTTGAAAAGATCACATTTTGTTAAATATGCTTGTTTATTACTCATTGTGTCATAAACTTGTGTGCCACTGATTAATTTCTGTTTATATGGGCTCCATGCAGGTAGCAAAAGTAATGTAAGTCCCCATGGTTCCTAGTATGGTGATCTACCTTCAGTTGTTGGCGATCTATAGCCCGTTTTTATATTGTATTGTCCAAATAGTGCTATTAGTTTTAACTTTCCATGCTAGTTTTAAGTCTAATTGTGATATTCTAGTTGTTTTACTGTGGTTTTTATAATATACATATATTCCATTTCAATGTTGAATGTGTTCTCGTCACGATATGGCTGCAATATTGCCGATGTGACGTTAAATAATAACTCACTCACTCACTGTTTATATGGTGTGATGTTGTAAATGATAAGATAAATAATTGAGGTCAGGGTGAAAAAATGATGATTTAAGAATCCCACGAAAAATTACCTCAGATATCTCATTGGCAAGTACACATAGCATGAAGCCAAGTCAATGTGATAGTAAGATGTTTATTTTATTTTATATAAATAGGTAACTTAATATCCAATTTAATGATGAACAATTACATTTTCAGTTGAAATCATCATGCCGTCTGAGCAGAAAAGAGTCAAGTATAGCACAAGTGAGTAAGAAATTTACATGAGGAGTGACACGATATGATATCAATGTCTGGACACTGTATCTTAGACAATACAATTGTCAATACCACTCTTCTGATATCTATTTTTTAACTATGGAGTTTATGAACCAATGTCTTGATTAAAATCTTACATATTTACAAACAATATTTAATTGTTAATCATGGCACTTCATTCATATCCTTCTTTCATAGAATTTCTATTGGAGTGGGTAGAATGTATCTGGTTAAATTTGTTAATTACTTGATTCAATATGTTAGTCAATGATCAATTTGTTTTAGTCAAAATGACATTCAACTAATTGGTACTATTAATGAATATTTGAGTCTAAATATGTCTTATTTGATTTCAGACTATTATGTTATTATTGGCATTATATGATGACATTTCTTTATTTCAATAGATACAAGGTCAAGTGAGAACCTGTCACTGAGCATTCTGGAGGTGGAGAGGGAGAAGCTCAGTGTACAGAGGGATCTCATGGCCACGGAAAAGGACCAGCTGGCTGTGGAGAAGGAGCGCCTGGCTGTGGAGAGGGAGATTCTCCATTGCCTGAAGCAGCAGACTTCAAACGGTTCTGACTTGTTTTTGTCACCCGTCATATCTTTTTGACACCTTTTTCTGATACTAGATTCACAATAGTCAATTTCATAGTTGATAATAATAATTATTATTAGTTGCTGGGTGAAACCCAACCTCTAAATGGGGTGAAACAACCTGGGGTAAAACAAGAAATAAAATTGGTCTGGCCTGTAAATTCAGCTATATATTTACTCACTGGCATAACACATCCTCTCTTGGCCACTGCCTGAAGTCAACGACTTGTGCCCTTCAATCAGTCTAGAGCAGTCCAAGCTTAACTATTGTCTTTCTATTACAGTCCAGGTGTTATCAGGGCAGCTGCACTCGAATAGCCTTATCATCAAACCTAACTTGTATCATGGCCTTACCATTGATGATAACATTTTACCTATATGACCTTGCACAATTGAAATATTGTGCTCTAAATAGATATATGTTTATGTAACATACTTCACTTGCTATGTACATAATAATGATAATGTATTATAGGTAAGGCAGTTTCTTTTGTGTGTTAATATTGTCAGTGACTACCTCATTTTCAGTCCATTTTACATGTAAAAAAGTTGAATTGAAAAAACACAAATTAAACAGTTGAAGACAAAAATTTATCATATTTGTTGTTTGTAATACTCTTAATTGCAATACATGTATATCCATTTTTAACACATACATTCATGTAAATATGTCCTGTACTAGCTTCCACCTGACTGCATATCCATCCTGTGCCTGGGGTACCTGGGCCCCTCGTCTGCTCCCTCCTCCTCCAGCTCTGGGGGGACTGGCTCCCTTAACTCGATGCAGAAGTTGTGCAGTTGGCAGGCAGCATACACAACTCTGTGAGCCTTGGCTGGTTAAAATGGCAGACAGCCAGTTGTTTTGTGCAGGCAACTAAACAAAGAACACAAACTTCATATTCATTATGAAGTGGGGGCAATACCATACAAAAAACCCTATTTTTGATACTTTTCTCTACATTAGATACTTAATTAATTTCTTATAAATTTAAGGAGTAAACAACTGTCTAGCACACTCAAAATATTACTTTTTATTTTCAACATTACATACAGTATACATGTATAGTAGTACATACAATGATTAATTAAATGTCAGTTACTTCGTGTACCGAAACCTTGATTTAAGTAAGCCGAAAGCTCGCTCGACTGTTTCTTGTCCTTGTGTGTGCTCTGTTGTAGGCCTCCTCACCCCCTGTGCTTGGGTTGACATATGGCGTCAACAGCCAAGATCTGCATGCATATCTATTTTGTAAAAAGATGAGTCACTATAACAGTATATTTTTCAGAGACAATTAATTATGACATGCTAGGAAAACATACAGAAAAGGTTCCAATTTATTTCAAATTGCTATATATTTTTTACTTAATTTTATCAAACTGAATATTTGCGCATTGATAAATGTTTAATTACCCAGAATCGCCCAGCAGCTCTTCTCTCGAGTATTTCTCCTATTCTGCTATTACTGAGTATGAAGCTGTCATGGGTGCTACCTGGCCATTTACATACTATGTTGGTAAATCTGCAAAAAAAAAAAAAAAGTTTTTAATATTTGTGCATTTTAGTAAAAAACATATAATCAAACCTTTCCATTATTTATGTCAAAAACACAGCAACAACGATCATATAGATGCAGTTGGGTAAAAAATATATTCGCTTTTTAGAAAGCTTTTTCTTATTCCTACAACACAATTTAGACAAGATAACCTTAAAAGTGCCCCTTCACACCATTCATATTACAACCTTTTTGGCCTTTCAATTTCATTGGGTTAGCATTTAAGGTGAAGGTCAAAGACACATATGTTTTCACGCATCGAGTATATAAATGTCGTTGAAATAACGATATCATTTTGTTTCAGTAAACCTTATTGTGAGTACCCATAGATACGAGTATGCTTCGTTTGTAACCCTATTTGGTACGTACCTCAAGGAGGAATCGCAAATGGCTTGGACGTTCAAAGCGTGGAAACCTTTGGGACAAGCAAACGCTTCTTCGTCGGCAGCCGGTCGAGTGATGGGGATGAGTGTCCCGTCGATCGCTCCAACAACACGAGGGAACCCGGCTATCCCGTAAAATCCTGCCTTTACTTGCCAAAGCCCTTGATCGTCGATCGGGAACTTGATCAAGTCAAACGCGCCGACAAACCCGTGAAGGCAGGAATAGATAGACCGGGACACACTTGGCTGGGAAACCGCGTGCAGGTCAGCTAGTTCTGACTGGAACCCCCCCTTCCCCAGATAGCGAAGGGTGACAAGCACCTGCAACTCTGGATCAAGGGGGACAGAACGCTGCGTCTGTCTCTCTAGGTGGGGCCTGATCAATGTACATAGTTGTTCTATCGCATGGCGAGACATCCTGTACCTCGCAACTAACTCTTGATCGTCCAACAAATCCAATACCTCGTCCGGTTTCTGTAAACTCTCTCCCTGTTACCCTTTAAATCTACCTCATTCATAAAAACAATCAACGCAGCCATCTTTAATTTGCGTATCTAAAGTTACGACAGCCTACTAGCTGTCTTAGTTTTTTTCTTAAATTTAAGATAACGTAAGGCTAAGAACGTTTCGAGAATAGGATAGTAGAAGTTCGTAAGGGCTAAGAACGGTTTTAAGAAGTTCTTAGGCCTACGAACGTTTCGAGAATAGGGGCCCAGGTAAGTTAATAAAATTTCTGTATATATAGATTTCCAGAATAATAGTTGTGTCATCAGAAAATTGCGAGAGAATAATTAAATGTTTCAAATTCTTACACATATCTTGACACTATTTGCATTAGCCCAGAAATTTCTATCCCGTCGTAAGCGTAAACTCTATGTAGCTTTTGTTGATTTCCGTAAACCATTTCATTCTGTGAATGGTTCTAAATTGTGGTACTCTGGCCTGAAAGGTAGGTTGTATTCCATTTTAAAAGCAATGATACTAATGTCAAAGCTTGCGTACTTTCTGGTGGTGATTTTTCGACTGCCCAGTTGGCTTAAGACAAGGATGTGTTGTGAGTCCAATCCTATTTTCCCTGTTTATCAATGAATTGTATTACGCTATTGTCGCAAACGGTAAGCATGACATCCAAATGTTTCCAGATCTCTTAGAACATTTTATTCTTTTATTTGCTGATGACCTAATTTTTTATGAGAATCTGCAGTTGGACTTCAAACCCAGTTGGGATTTATCAGTTAATCTAGTTAAGACCAATTTTGTTACTTTTAGAAAAGGTGGCCGGAAGAAAGATGGTCCTTTAATAACCAACCTGAAATTGTCTCTGATCATTATACTGATCATGGTATCAAGTTTACATCCACCAGTCCCTCCTGGATTTCGTGGCTGCAGAATAAACCGCGGAAATTACCTTTCGATGCAGAAAAACGTCTGGTCTGCGGAAAACGCAGTTTCATGCAGAATAATTGCCGAATTTGCTATTTTTCTGCCGCGGAATTTACATATTTTGAAAGTTGAATCAAGATTGGCTATCAAACGAAACGAAAAGTAATGGAAAATGTCAAAAGTATGATTGGTTACAAAAAGACAGAAAAGAACTGATACGTTTGTTATAACGACATTTTCATTCAGCATCTTAGAAAAATATTATTTGAATTTGACATTACAAAATCGATCTTTTGAAGATTGAATTTGCATAATTTTATGTGTTTTTTCAAGATATTAACTGCAGACTTTATTACAGAATTTACTCAAATTTGCCGCGAAAATCTTAAAAATTCGTCGCGGAATCCAGGAGGGACTGATCCACTATGACTGAACTGGAAAACATCTGTTACTGAATTATCCTTGAAAGCTCAGAAACCATTGATAAGTTTGTTTTCTGCCTTGTATAAAATTGGTGGGTTTATGCCCAGTATTTACTTTAAACTATTTGATTGCCAAATTGAACCTATTCTTTTGTATGGATCCGAGATTCGGTGGTTCCAGCGATATGACTGCAAAGACAAAATACATCTGATGGCCTGTAAGACATTTATAAATATTGGACCATAACACCGAATTGTATGGTGCACGGCGAATGTGGCAGGTATCCCCTGTATATAAATGCTCATGTTCGATGTATAAGGTTCTGGTTTAAGATATTATGTAAACAAGAAAATAGATAACCTAAAAAGTCTTAAAACATGCTTGTTCATTTGGACAACATTGGTAGTGACGTAGGCATCTTATGTACGAAAACTTCTGTTTTCACATGGTTATGGTTTTATATGGTTAAGTCAGTCAGTTGGCGATGCAAGTTCGTTTTTAACTCAGTTTCGAGAAAGAAGACGTACTATGTTTGATCAAGAATGACATTCAGTAATAGATAGTTCACGGTATGACTCTTATAGAATATGCAAATCATTACTGCAGCCAGCAAAGAAATTAGGCTTGAACAACATAATGATAAACGAAGGAAGACGTTTTTATATCGAAAGATGCAAGAGAATGTCACACACACACCACCACGGTGTAATATTCATGTGAAAAATGAAAGTAAATTCTTACTAGTCTGTCCTTTTATAAAGATTTGCGTACGAAATATATAGCTGAATATTAACAATGTACGTCATCACACATGAGAAAGCCAAAAGATCCTATCTTACTTTCAAAGAGATTATAACTCAAGGATCATGACCGGAAGCAAACAGATAGTGGCATACAAGAGAGAAAAGAAGCAAACAAGGATTGTCAGGATTCCAAAGGACAACTTGAGAAACATATACATCCCCCATACAGATGTCTCAATAGGCTTCTCCACTTTCTGTCGACTGGGACTTTTTTGGGTGGTGATTCGAAAACCTTGTGACAAAAATACATGTCTTTGCTAGCTTTGGGAAAATACACAATTCAGTGCCACATCACTGAAGAAGTCCGAAGCAAATCAATATGATGATTTTCATCTCATTATCGGAGATATGGTCTGTGATAAGACATCACAAGACTGCATATATGGCCAGTATCAGAAATGTGAAGAACAAAGAGTACAAAATAATAAAAAGAGTGAGTGAGTGAGTTTAGTTTTATGCCGCACTAAGCAA